TTAGACAAATAAATATAACCATAAATAAAATGGTCATTTTTAATATTTTGTTGAGAATCCTTTGCAGGCAATGACTGCCTTATGTCTGGAACTCATAGACATCAACAAAGCTTGGGTTTCCTCCTTTTTGATGTTTTGCCAGGCCTTTTCTGCAGCTGACTTCAGTTGCTGTTTGTTTGTGGGTCTTTCTGCATTTAGTTTTGTCTTCAGCAAGTGAAATGCATGCTCAATCAGGTTGAGATTAGGAGATTGACTTAACCATTGCAGAATATTCCACTTTTTTACCTTCAAAAACTCCTGGGTTGCTTTTGCTCTATGTTTTGGGTCATTGTCCATTTGTACAATGAAGCGCTGTCCAATCAACTTTGATGCATTTGGCTGAATCTGGGCAGACAGTGTATCACTATACAATGCATTTGGCTGAATCTGGGCAGACAGTGTATCCCTATACACTTCAGAATTCATTCGGCTGCTTCTGTCTTCTGTCATGTCATCAATAAACACCAGTAACCCAGTGCCACTGGAAGCCATGCCCATGCCATCACACTGCCTCCACCATGTTTCACAGATGATGTTGTATGCTTTGGATCATGAGCTGTTCCAAGCCTTCTCCATATTTATTTCTTCCTGTCATTCTGGTACTAGGTTGATCTTAATTTCATCTGTCCAAAGAATGCTTTCCAAAAGTGGTCTGTCTTTTTTAGATGTTTTTTTGGCAAAGTCTAATCTGGCCTTGTTTGCACCTTCTGGTGAACCCTCTGTATTTGCTCTCGTGAAGTCTTCTCTTGATTGCAGACTTTGACAGTGACACTCCAACCTCCCGGAGAGTGTTCTTCACTTGGCTGGATGTTGCGAAAGGGTTTTTTGGTAACACTTTATAATAGCTTTCATTAACAAATCATTAACAAACATCATATAATGCTTAATGGATCATTAGTTAATATATATTTAGAGAGTTAGAAACGTGAGATAATGTGATTGTTAATGTTTTCTAATAAACTTATTAAACATTACATAATGTTTAACACATTTTTTTGTGTAAGTTAAAATGCTTACCGATGTCATTAAACTTTCAATTCATATGATCAAGCACTTATTGAAAATCTACAAATGATTTGATCAGATGTTATAAAATAATTAAAAGCTTGTGTTAATGCACAACACTTTTGCTGCTATTAAGGTGTGATACGGGGTAAGGTTAGAGACAGGTTTGGTGGTATGGGTAGATTCAAGGGTTGGTTAAAGGGTCTACAGTGTACAGGGGTTCATTTGATTACTATAAGGGAACAGTTCAATCTGTTTATATTATATTGTTTTGATAAATGAACAAGTATCTTCTTTAAAAAACTGGATACTGTACTGTACTGTAGTCACTTTGTGTGAAGTGTCAGAGCTTGAAGCAGGACCCAAAACAGGAAAGAAAGCTTTTTCAGTTCAACAAAACAAGATGTTATTGCACGTTACAGCAGATAAAAAATCTGAGTTCGTACTGTAAAACAAACATGAATTGCATGGTTTAAAAAATGCAACAAACAAGTAATGAACAAGAAACAACAAACATTATGCACTGAGACAACCAGTCAGTAGTCCGTGTTACCACCTCTGACACTGATCACAGCCTCACATCGCCTGTGCATGCTTGAGATGAGGTTTTGGATATTCTGTTGAGGGATGGCTCGCCATTCCTCCAGAAATGCTATTCGCAACTCCACACGGGTTCCTGGAGGGACCTGGCATGCTTGCACTCTTGACTGTAGCTGCTCCCAAATGTGTTCACTGGGGTTCAAGTCGGGTGACCGGGCTGGCCACTCCATCCTTGAGATGCCCTCCTCCTCCAAGTATTCCGTCTCCAGCCTTGCTCAATGTGGGCCGGCATTGTCATCCATATGCATGAAATCTGGCCACATTGCACCAGCATACAGTCGCACAACTGGTCTCAGGATTTCATCCCTATACCTTTGGCCTGTCAGGCTGCCATTTTCGACGATGACAAGCTCTGTCCTTCTACCCATGGAGATGCCTCCCCAAACCATGACCGATGATCCGCCAATACTGTCATGCCGTACAACATTTTGTGGCAAATTTCTCTCCCCAGGACGACGCCAGACCCTCCTACGCCTGTCTAGGAAGTTCATGCAGAACCGGGACTCATCTGTGAAGAGCACTGTACCCCACTGATTCATTGTCCACCTGCGGTGTTCTGTGGCCCACTGCAGATGTGCCAATTGTGCACCCTCACAGCTGGTCTACTGGCTCTTCTACTTCTCTTCGCACCCCTGTTGCATCCTGAAGGTCATTTTGCAGGCTGATTGCAGGCATGAAACGATTTCTGCGGGCATGCAGGGTCAAGTATCAGTCTTGATTTGGTGTTGTGACCCATTGTCTGCCTCCACCATGCTTTCTACTCACACTACCAGACCTTCTGAACCTGTTTCAGGCTCTGGAAATGACACTTTGAGACGTCCCCACTGCATCTGCAACTTCACACTGAGTCATGCCACCTTGCAGCATCTCAATGGCCCTGTTGAGGTCAGAATCCTGCAATCTCACTAAATGTGGCATTTTCTATGCTTTCTGAGCTCAAGTTAAGCTTTCAGAGCCTTAAATGATGAGCAGTTCCCATTTACACATTTTGGTTTTAGGACAACTTTGATGAAAGGTTTTGATCCACTTCAAATGTTGACTAGTGTGTATATATATATATATATATATATATATAGAGAGAGAGAGAGAGAGAGAGAGAGAGAGAGAGGTCTCTTTTATGTGTAAACATCAAGGGCATTTAGATTTTTCTTTTAATGATAATTTTTAATCATTCTTATGGGAAATTCTTCCAAAGTGCCCCGTGAAAGCATCACATATGTAATTTAGAAAACAAACATACTCTTCAAACAGATGTGGGGGAAGGTAATGTTATTGTTATAAAAAGAATTTGATTGAATAATTTCTGAGCAACATTGTAATATCATGAAGTCTTAGCTGAAAACTTCTGAAAGCGTATTTTTTAAACTTTTGCTGCTTGAATTTAATTTAATTAACAAACCCTTAATATAAAAACACAAGATAGTATGAAAATGTAGAATGTCTTTTGCGAGAAAACATTACATAAGTGTATTTACATTTTTTTATTCACATTTATTTTGCAAATGAGGAATGCATTTGATTCATCTTGAGGCAATAACACATGAGAAGTGCTGGAAATACAAAGTTTGAAACATGATCTAGAATAGTACAATAAATCAATTATAGAAGCAATGAAGAAAAGTCAACAGGATACAGTTAAGTGCCGGTGGAAGAGAAGAGGCATATTTCATTGATGAATAAATTCACTACTATCCACACAAGTAATCTTTCACTGTGTATGCACACATTTCATACACATGACAATTCAACAGTGGGGGAAAGGATATTCATTAGCAGTTTGCAAAATTGCTATGTGTGAATGTGTAAAATGGTTAATTGTATTTTTGATGTAGGTCAGGATTCCTTAACATGGCAGCCGTGATTGAAGACGCTATTGAAGACGCTGTGGAAGCCTTTGAAAGTTATACTGCTGAAGGAGCTGATCTAGCTGAAGAAGTAACTGAAGAAATGGCTGAAGAAATAGCTGAAGCCAAAGTCGAAGTTCAAGAGATATCAAAAGAGAGCAGCGTCATAAAAAAATGTATTGTAAATGTCTCCACAGGCATCAAAGATTTGGGAATATTTATGGCAAAGAATGCAGCAATTGGTGTAATATTGTGGGGTGTTAATGTTACACTAGCAAAACTGTTCCCTAAAGGCCAAGGGCAGAGTGAAAAACAAAAATGTGCCTTGATAAAAGAAGTGATCCAAGTGATCAAAACTGAAATATGCATATCTAAAAGGATGGCTAAATGGTTAGAAGACCATAAGGAAGAAACGGTCATATTGGATGGCATAGAAATCCCTCTGGAATCACTAATTTCCACACACATTAAGCCAGTATCTGATGTAAGAAAAAATACTTCACTTTTTTGTGTATGTATATGTGTGTGTGTAAATATATATATACGTGTGTGTGTGTATTCCATCTAATGATTTGTTGATGTTGTTGTTATTTTCAGGCTATTGACCAAGCATACTCTGTGGCACAGTCACTACAAAACTCTGATGGAAATCCTTACAAAGTTCCAACTGCAGGAGACATACAGAAGTTCCTCATGGCGGCAGATGCTTTCCTAAATGCTTTCAACTTCCTGGTGGCATTCATCAATGAAAACATGCAGAAGTTTCAAGGTCTCTGCAGCTTCCCAGTGAAAAAAGAAGACATTGACACTCTCAGAGAACTGATAGAGAATGTGAAGGCTGAAAAAATGAACTGGTCTTAATGTGCTCTTAACGGTTTCTTTCTTTCTTTCTTTCTTTCTTTTTGCATTTGTAAATAAAGACAGTGACTTCAGCTGTCAACTTTACATGCATCCTTAGCAGTATGAAAACAAAGTATCCGGCAAATTGTGAATTAATTATTTACAGAAAGTCAGCTAAGAACAGTCCTTTTGTAATGTAATAATGAGAGCATTTGTAAGAGTGCTCAAGTGAGCATGTGCTGAATAAAACCCTGGCATTTTGAGAAATACTGAGTGGATTTCTGCTGTAGCGCTGAATATTTTAAATGCCTCTGATAGACAGCTGTGTTAATTTCTGTCTCACATGTTTACATTAAAAAACACGATTTTTTTTCTTGTTTTATCCTATTTATATTAAGATAGGGATGTTATTGTGTATTTAATTTCACTATACTTGCTGGGGTGTGTTTCCCAAAAGAAACTACTTATCGCATTTTCCGTCGTTACCAATAGAGTTCAATAGAAATTGCCTAACACTGTTAACAATTGCCCTGTATTTTTACAGTAAGTTACTGGCAGCATGTTTGCCAGCAAGTTACTGTATTTTGTTTTACAGCAATGCAACTTTACAGTATGTAGAACAGTACTGTACCACTACAAAACAGTATTTTACTTTGTAATTTTGAACTATTTCTATTGTATTTGGCTAAAGTGTAATATATATATATATATATATATATATATATATATATATATATATACAGGGGTGTGAAAAAAAGAAATGGGTTTTTTTTATTTACATTTTTTAATAAATTTTATACAATCCGCCTTAATTTAGCAAGTGCACTCGAGCATAAACAATTTTCAAGTTCCACACTTTTTGTTCCATTGTGGATGCTGCTGATTCACCGAGACCACCGCGGCTCAGCAAAGACACATGCGTGTGTGTGTACATATAGTTAGTAAAATTATAATACTGCTATACTTCAGAATAACATTAGAAATAAAAAAAGCAATCCAAAAATGTTTTCAAAAATATTTTTATTAAAACATTTCAAAATATTTGAGTACTATGTGTTTGCTACCCAGAGTATATTGGGTAATTTACAATTTACAGCCATGAAAGTATTTTAAGTGTGCAAAAATATAAATGAAACAAACACATGCATCTTCTGGGCAGGATTGGAATCACTGTCCTAAGAGAGAACTTGATTTATATTTAAAATATCTTAAAAATGAGCAAAAACAACAAGTATTCCCTAACTGTAGGGCATGTTCTCTCTCTGTGAAGTCCTCCATTTAAACATCATCATGGACTGAATGAAGCTGTTGAGATGCGGGGTTGATGGCCATCACTCTGCACCATGGTCCTGATCTTCTGCTCACTCGCTGTCTGGCAGTACATTTCTTCCCATCAGTGGTGAAACTGAAACAAAGTCATGAAACACACAAAGACACGTATGACAAAACCTGTTATCCACAGCACCAATAAAGATGAACAGACTGCATAAAGGAAAAAAAGTGAATGAAAATTCTGTGGCATAAATGAATAAATAAATACTTATTTATTCTTTAAATACAATCTTACTGATATAGACGTTATACAGCAAAGTGATGATGTTACTGATCACTACCTTGTAACGTGTGTACTTAATACCACTGATATTTGTCATATCGCTCCACGTTATCGACTAGGTAGAACAATTATCCCAACCACTAAAGACTGATTCACAAATAACCTCCCTGATCTGTCTCAGCTGCTCAGTGTTCCCATAAACACAAATGAACTAGATGAAATGACTAGCAGTATGCTGCCCTACAAAGGCAAAAGACCTTAACTCGCTAGAGTGTGAAACTGAGAAAAATTACTTTAAAGTTTATTACTTGTCCAGCCAAATTAATTATAGGTAGGACACTGGAAATTTAACAATTAGATGTTTTAGTAATTAAAATGATCTACATTAAAAAATTGTGAGCTCAAACTTGATTTTTACCCCTATTTTGAGGTTAATGTACTCTGCCTTTGCATTGTCTGCAAAACGTGAGCAGTCACACCAAGGCAAAAGGCAGTAACTTCCACATTATCAATATTTGGTTGCTGATCACCATTTACAAAATCGTAATAGTAACACCTATATAAAATCTAGTGATCATGGGCTATCTCATATAGGCTATTGCATATAGTAATGTGACTGTATTAATTGTTTTTTTTTATACCATAAAAAGCAGACTAAAAGTTAAACATGTGAGTGGATACCGTGGATACCAATTTATTTGCTATGCTCATAAACGTAAAAGAATGGTAGACATAGCGTAATTGCTTTTATATTGACTTGTATTAAATAGCCTAAACTAAAAGAATGACTTGTGGATTGATGTGAACGCCAGCAAGCAGGAATAATCCTCAGAATGCGTGTGGATTAAACATCTCCGATGACGTTCATCGCCATGGATTGATTTTATCAGGTTACAAGAAAAGGTAGGATATGGATTTAACTGCGAACTGTTACTACAGATTTTATGTGTGATCATGCTATGCTGTCATAGCATTCAAGTTCACAATCAGCATAAAAAAAAGACTAACAATTATTTACAATTACTTATTGTTGCCAGGTTATCTAGTCTTATGGAGCTTATATGGAGCAGTCAGATTGTGATCTACCTAATTCGTTTGTCTAATGAAGTGCTTCAGTGACAAGACACGTTACACAGTAATTTAAACTCTGCAGACTTTAATGGACAGTAAAACAAAGGCAGAAAACCTTATAACTCCAGGCCGACACAGTAACTTCATATTGACTCACGGCTAAACAAAGGCAGAGTACCGTAACTCAATTTTAGCATTCCAAAACAAAGTCAAAGAGCGGTAACAACCCTCTACGGACACCTTGGCAATTGAATCGCCATTGGCTAGTATATTTTTTTGTTAACGCGCCAGACTGAAATACTATACTAATATATAAATATAAATATAATATGTATATATATATATATATATATATATATATATAAAAGTTATACAATTTTACACACATGTTTGTAAAATATCAGGTTACAAGAAAAGGTAGGTTAGTAGGGAACTGTTAGTAGGCTACTGATTTTATGATTGATCATGCTAGCTATGGCATTCGAGTCCACACGCGTCCAACTAAGTGACAGCCTGGTGAATAATCTGCATTACAAAAAGAAAAAAAAAAATCTTTAAAGGTTATTCACGATTACGTATTGCTGCCAAGGTATCTAGTTTTTAGAGTGCTTTGTTATATAGAGCTGTTTGGTAGATCGCGATCTATCTAATTTGTTTGTCTACACCGTAATTAAAATGCGGCAGACTTTAATGGACAGTAAAAAAAAGGCAGAACACCGTATAACTCCAAACGGGCACCATAACTTCATTTTGACACGCAGTTAAACAAAGGCAGAACGCCGTAACTCAATTTGAGTGTTCCAAACAAAGTGAAAGAGCCGTAACTGGTGTTATACGGTGTTCTGCCTTGGTTTCTCAGGGGCTTTTCGAAGTTACGGTTGAGATGACCCACTATTTTCTCTGCAAAACAACGAAATTGACTCAAGATACTTATGCACATGATAAAGGATGTCTTGAATGTCACAAAAATATCAATAACTCTCAAGATACTTATGCACATGATAAAGGATGTCTTGAATGTCCCAAAAATATCAATAACTCATTTTCGACAAAAATCGAAGTTACGGTCTTTTACCTTTGCACAGCAGTATGGGCACAGTCTTCTGTAGAACATTAGATACCGTCACACCCATCAGATTAATAAGGGTTAGAGAGAAAAATACTGCACCATGGTACAACAGTAATACTCAGGCTTTAAAGAGAAATATTCACCTACACCGTAAATTGAAAAACTAATTTAGAGGTCTTTAAAATTCCATGGAAAAAAAGCATATCCCGCTACAAAAAGGCACTAAAAGCAGCCAGAGCCGAGCATTTCCACAAGCTCTTAGAAAATAACCAAAACAATCCAATGTATTTATTTACATAGAGTAACAAATAAATAGCTAGACTAACAAATAAACAGACATCACCTGAACTGAATATTCCATCACAATTTAGTAGTAATAGTAGAAACTATTAGAAATACAATTGTAAATGTACAACCTTTAACTGTTTTATGATCCAGTCTCTGTTTCTGACCCTAAAGAACAATTACAGTGCTTTACAACTATAGGACAAGAAGAACTAAATAAACTAATCATTACATCTAAACCAACAACATGTTTACTAGCTCCCATTCCCACTGAATTATTGAAAGGGTTGTTACCTATAGCAGAAGAGCCTCTTCTCAATATTATTAATTCATCTCTATCCCTAGGTCATGTTCCAAAACTATTTAAGATGGCAGTTATTAAGCCTCTCATTAAGAAACTGCAACTAGATCCAAATAACTGGCAAATTACAGACTCATTTAAAATCTTCTGTTTATGTCTAAAATATTAGAAGAATTGTGTCCACTCAATTGTACTCCTTCCTGAAAAATTTTACTCAGGATTCAGGCCTCATCATAGCACAGAAACTGTGCTCGTTAAAATAACAAATTACTTATAGCTTCTGACCAAGGATGTGTCTCAATACTAATTTTACTTGATCTTAGTCCTGCATTTGACACTATAGACCATGACATACTCTTAAGCCGACTACAAAATTACTCTGGTATTCAGGAACATGCATTATGATGGTTTAGATTGTACTTAGCAGACCGTTACCATTTTGTCTACTTAAATGGTGAAAAATCCAAGTTAACATCAGTTCACGAATTCGCCTGCCCATTCAGCCCTGCCAGGTAATGGTAAAACGAACTTGGCTTGCTGTCAGTGACGGAGGCTCGAAACCCAAGGCTCGGCTTGAGCTCCGAGTAAGAAACCCCCCCTTTGATGATACGGTGTGGATGAAAGAGAAGGGATTTAAAGGAGGAGAAGGGGTGGTGAAGGGATGCCGGAAGAATATTCGCTTTGACGGAACAATGACTGCAAAATAAATAATAATAAACTCACTGCTGCGGCAGTGAAGTGGTTAAAATTTGCAGGACAGAAAGTCTCTGCTCCGGCAGAGACATAGTCAAATGGCAATGGTTAACGGCGCGCGGAATCGTTGCTGGGCCGTATAAGGATTTGACACTACTGCTGTAGTGACAAAGGAAGAGAATTGTTTAATTAAAGTATTGTATGAAGGGAAAGCCACTGCTGCGGCAGTGGAAAGGTTGATTAAGGTTAAGGAGAAAAATAAAAATGTTACTGCTGC